TGTTCACTATTAATCATTGAAGAGCCAGCATTGGTAAATTTATTAAAAAATTTGGGTATGTGTATTTAATACACAGTTTCCATTTGCTTTCCCAAGATCATAATAAATTATCATGCTTCTGTAGGATAACAAGACGAAAACTATACAAAAGTTGTTTACAAATTTTGTGAATTTTTTTTATATTTCTATAATAAAATAATTTAAATTAAAATAAATAAATAAGTAAATTTGTCTCACAATTTCATTGAAATTCTGGAAGTCATCCTATCTTTATCTGATTTTATTCATGATTGAAAGAGAAAAAAATGAGAACAATTTTTCTGTACGTATTGAGGAAGACATTTGCCATTACTCGGAATGGACTCGGTAAAAATAAAAAATTTTTGCTTAAGCCACTGACTTGCATTTTTTTATTAAATATTTCAAAACAAATATAAATTTTCGTAACAGCTTTCTGTTCCGAAAGTGATTTGTAGTAATTACTACTGAATATTTCAAAACGATTTTTCATTTGTTATTCTTATAGTAGAACAAAACTTTTTTGATACACGATAAATAATATTCTTTTATGTGTATCTAGGCCATCGTGTGATATATGTATATATATATATATATATATATATATATATATATGCATGTATGTGTGTATATCTATATGTATTATATATATAGTATATAAGATAATTCTTAAATTAATAATTTCTCTAGCTTTAAGTATATACTACAAATCACCTTACGCAATGGGTATGTATATGACAATCCTAGAAATTAATCTACTAATTGAAGTGTAACGATTCATTATATATATATATATATATATATATATACATATATATATAAAGTTTAAAATTCAAGATTTTTCCTATACCAAAAGTATTAGAAGTTCTAATTTCGTACAGCTGAAGAAATTTCGTTGGAATTAAAAAAAAAAGATTCATAATACTTTAGTATCTACTTTTTATAAATGAAATAGAAAAAAATCTATAAATTTCAATATTGATTAGATTTCAATACTAATTAAATTTTCTGAAATGTATTACATTTGAAGAGTGACCTTGGTTTAACATGATTTCAATATCAATCAGCTGACTAAATGTAGTTCAAAATATAGGAAATAAATATTTTTAAATAGACAATGATAAATTAATGGGGAAAAGAGACGATAAAAGATGTTTTATTGAGCCAGTTACCTCAAATAATAATAGAAATACGAAAAATATTGCGTCGCACGCCCTTAAATAAAAAAAAGAGGCAAAAAATATAATTGGCCTGTTTGAGATGTAAGAAAATATAGAAAACATATACTATTAAAAGTAGAAGAAGCGACAATTATAATGAGAATGTTTCAAATATTCACTCTAAATTAACTCTAATCGGCAATGTATTTTAAAATTTCACTGTGATTTTACGCAGGGGGCCAGCTGTCAAATTACTGGCCAGAATACAGGGAATAAAACAAGCACGTTCTAGTGCGGAACGCTCACAGCCAACAATGACTGACATTGCAATTGCGAAAAAGAGTATTGTTTCCGTGTTAAGACGACTTCAGCTAGAAATCAAAAACTAGAAATTAAGGAAGAAAACAAAGAGAGAGAAAGAGAGGGAAAGTGGCAGGTTGAAAAACTGATATCGCTTACGTTTGGCGTTCCTCGCTAATTTTCATGTTTTGTAATAATAAACACCGACTACATAATAGATGGGAGCAGATGAGGCGGAAGGGTGGCCAGATATAGATAGACAGCAATTGAATAACGGCGACATTGCGCGCATTTAAAGTCGTATAAAGCTAGATTGCCGAGTAATTTAATATATAAATAAATACAGTAGACATATATATGATATATATGGAAAGTAAGTGCGACAGCCGTAGTAGTACGCCGGGGTGATGGGTGGACACCGAATGAAAACGCGCGATACGAATGCCGGAAGGAGTCGCACGGCCGGTATTTCAAAGGCCTCGCATTCTCGTGCCGATGCACATGTATACCTCTCCCTTGCACACTTAAAACTTATATAGTGAAATCTTAGTTAAGTACGATAACATCGCAGCAGTTACAAAGGGTAGGGAGGTCTTGAGTATATGGATGAAGGTCTTTTGACATGGTGAAAGGTTGCAATCGATCTAGACAAGAAGCGGGGGCAACGCTATGAAAATTCCCGGCATTACATCGCTACCTACCACCCGCGAAGTTATCCATCTATTCCTTCTCGTAGATTTGTAATTTTTCCCCCTTGTTTTCTTTTCCACCCTCTCTCTCCATCCCTTTCACGCACACACGCAGTCTCTCTTATTCTTTTCTTCTGAATATCTAGTTATCTATCACTCATTCGCTATCTGTGTCTCTCTCAAACTAGAGATCATTCATTAAACGAATGAATCACTACCATCCCTAGAGAGATTTTAAGGCCGTGTTACGTAATTATAAATCGAAGGCTTGGAATGGGTTTGTGTTTGCAAGAAAAGAACAATATTTTATTTATTCACTTTGCTTAAAATAAGTTATTTTGTAATAAATATAATGGAATAAAAGCAAGAGTATTTACAAGTTTTATTATCCTAATGAATGCACTTTTCCTCACGTACCATCAACATTCTAACAATTTTGAATTGTGTTTACCTTTTAAGATAAAGCATATCTTCTTTTAATTTTTTTTCTTTATTTTTATCAAAATTTATTTACGTATATATTTGTATGTTAAAAACACTTTAAGGCTGACAAATCTTGTGACCAAAATTAGCCGGAATGATGTTACGTGTGCAAAAGGTGATCAAACTGACAATCATTATAAAAGATATCGAACTCTTAAAGCCATTATCCCTTATGAACTCCATTTTTTCTCTCTCTCTAAATGCAAGTCCATTTTTTACCTTGCAATTTTGACTTAATAAAACGTTTGAACGTATATGATACAAGGAATGTATGTCTACAGAGTTATGCGTGTATTTATGTATGTGTCTATTTATTATGTATGTACGGTAATAGAAATGAATGGGTATATTCATATACGAATCAAAGAAAATCTGTCGTGCAAACGAAACTTGAAATGATTTTACCATACGCCAATGTCAAGCATCACGCCATTTTATCTCGTTTAATTATTTCACTGCTTGTGCGAACGCACGTCCTTTCGCGCAATGGTAGAATGAAAGGAGGCCCGACTGGTGCTCATTTTTCATTTTTTCATTCGCCCTTTCAAACCCAGTATTCTTCGCAGAGAATCAATCCTTTCCGGCCTTTAAATCGTTCCTTTGACAAAAATACAACTTTTTAAGTTCAGGGGCTGCGTTGACTCCTCTTATATAATTATCCTCTTTTTTTTATCTTAACTTACCTTTGTCTTCGCTAATTCAACAAATACAGCTAGCTCACTTTTCGTCTCTTTCTCTCTACATGTACACCTAAATTCACGTGCTGGCATGCATGTTTTGTTGGTAGTGTCCTCATTTTATTAACAGATTGTGATACGTTAATAGTAATCTGGCAATATTCCACTATTGCCCTGTATTGAATTTCTTTCATTGCAAATAAGGAAAACGAACTAAGATGATGAAAATAATAAAAAAATTAGCGTCAAGGGTAAAGTATGAGAGAAAAAATACATTGGGAAGTAAAAGGAAAATTGAGCTCAAAAATAATGAGAAAACAAGGAGAAGAAAAGGTGCAAAAATATGAAAAATTAAAAGGTCATATCAATATTTTGCAATCGCTTTAATATAAATGCAATCATCTTATTTACGAGAAAATAATAATAATAATAATAATAATAACTATACACTAAATAAAAAATAAATAATGTAATGAAAATTATGAACAAGTCAATGTTACTAATACATGTAGATAGGAAAATTAATATTTTAAGTTATCTAATGACTAAATTCAAATAATAATAATAACAATAAAGAGACAAATTTAAAAAGTTGATTCAATGCATAGAAAGCTTCTGTAACTATTGAGTTGCGCGTAAGTCAGGCTTTAGCCCGTATATAAATACCAGTCATTGAACTCTTATATAAGTGGAACGTATAGGAGAGATATTAAAAAAAGAATCGTACAATATATTCATTATATATAAACCGAATACACGTTCGCAAATTTATGTGCGTAAATATGTATGTCAAGATTGTATATCTGTATAGGTATGTATATATATGTATTCATATTCATATATAATTAGCGTTACATATAAAAATAAAAAATGAAGAATTTTTTAAACATTTCGATTTTTACATTAGAGACATCAGTCAGAATGAAATTCGCTGGCCAGAGACGAAGGAGATGAAAAAAAAAACAGAAACAATAAGTTTGGAGAGAATCTCGGTATAATGATGGAGTATTGGTAAGAAAAAAGAGAAGAGAGAACTAATATAAATATTTGAAATATAAACATCATATATAAAATGTATTGTATACATTTTTTATAGATTCTTTTTGATGAAACTTCTATAATATCAACGAAAAAAATTAACGATAGTCTTTACAAAGCTAGTTCAATATTTCTAACGAACATTCAGTTTTGCAATAACCATTAGCATAGTTGTCCCTTCCTGTTCTTGTGTATCTATCTATTTATCCATTTTTTTCAATACATTCTGTAACGCGTTTTATCCTCTATTCCTTTACTTCACATTTAACCCCTACGGTATACAGCGCATATACTGTAATACTATGCATTACAATCTCATCTTTAGTGTCTCATTTTATACATCGCACGATAATGAACCTTTTCTAGCTAGATCATTACGACGTGCCTCGTCGATTAAACAGTGTATCACTTTCTTTCTTTTAATCGCCACCGTTCACATACGAGCTCACATATTCACACACTCACTCTTATTCTCGCAAGCGCACGTGCGCGAATTTATTTTCTATATTCTTATATATATATATATATATATATATATATATATGTTTTTTTCTTTATTTCTTTATTTATATTTGTAATGTATCAATAATATTAATGATAATTATGACATTAATAATAATAATAATAATAATAATAATAATAATAATAATAATAATAATCATATCGAATGAAGATAATAAGCATAGCCACTCATGTTCGGATCACAGACTACTTACAGCTGTGCTACCTCACGCACAAACTGTCCGTTGCACATTGTGGCTTTTAAACTCCTCTCTAATTGCTTTCCACCCCAATTTAATTGTTTTCTAATTCGCTTCTCTTATACACCATGTGTGGCTTCCTAGCCTCTCACTTATAGAACCATAAAAAAAGAAGAGAACTCGTATCTTTCGCTCGTTGGAAATTCGCGTGCTTCGCTTTGCCTTTCTGTTTCTCGCTCATTTTCTCAGCCTCGCCGCACACCAACTTACCGAGGAAGCTCTTCGGTACGCGCGATAAGCGCATTTAAGACATCGCGCAGAGGCACTAGTTCGAGCTCCTGAAGGATTTATATGCTGCGTTAACGTGTCAGCAAGCGCTTGTTTCTTCGCCCTCAAGGGTACACGCTACATTTTCTAAACGATGGGCCAGATGAAGCTTGCAGCAACCTGGATCCGTCTCGAGCGCTTCGAGGATCTGAAACAATTAAAACGACGGACATGCGCCATCAGTTAATCCTTTTTTATGAAATTTTCTCATTTCATCTTCATCAAATCTTCCACTACAGCACATCATATTTCTAATTTAGTAATTCTTGGAAGCAGTTACTAATATGGAATCCTCGATTTGATTCAGAAACAATGTTTCACACTAATTTGAATTGTGGAATCATTATAAAGAACAAAAACATTAAATGTTTAAAATGTTTAAAATGTATCATTTTTCTCTAGTCAGTAGTTATATCAATTCTGTTTCCTTGCTCAAAGTACGTATTCTAAATTTTAGTTAGATAATAATTTTTATCGTGCATGATAAAATTCTTTTGTGAATAAATAGAACATAAATAATTTGACAGAATTGATATTAAATGCAAATTCTAATTTTTCATAAAAGATATATAAAAATTATAAATATTTTTCTGTCGATAATAAAGCATTTATTCATAAACAAAATTCTCTTACAATACTATACTACTTAAACTGTATTTATACTGTTTAAAATTATCAATCGGTCAAGTACATTCTAATATCAGTTAAGTTTTATACCAGGACGAATATCTGTTTCGAAAATTTGAAAATTATTACAAATAATTAATCATCAAATCTATGTCACATAATAATTGTATATTAACTAATATGCTTAATAAGACGATTGATTTGATTACACATAATTCACTATGTTTCAAAATCTGTGAAATTCCTTTGTGTTCATTTTTCAAAAAATGAATTTCAAAAAATTTTAAGTACTTGAAAAAAGGTTTTTCTTATAAGGTTTTATAATTACACTATTATTTATTATCAATATAACCATATTTTATAAATTTTTAAATTATAAATAAAAAATTCATGAAAATATTTATAAGTAATATATGAATAAAAATAATTTTTTATTCTAAATTTATTTAATAAGTTTAAATAATTTCTTAGTAGCTAACAACACAAATACTAAACCTTAAAACATTCGAATATATTTAATAAAGTTACTTATAATTTATTACGCATCAAGAAAATAAATTAATTTTTAATATCATATATTAGTTATGCATCCCGTTATCAAACTTGTTATCCATAATACTTCTAGTTTTATTTCTGTTATCTTATAATAAAATCTCCTGATCAATGTCGGACTTTTGTTATTTTAAAAAATGTAAAATTTTATGTAAAATATATTATTTTTATTTTTATTTAAAAAATTAATATTTTTATTTAAGAAACGGATATTTTAATTTAAGAAAGTAGATATTCATTATACTTTTGAGAAGACAGTGTAATTTACTGATACGTTCTTTCAACGTTTCTTAACATCACTATCATATTTTTACAGAAAGTTTCACGGATTTTATCATCCTTATTTTTTTAAAATAAAATAAAATTTTTAGATATTTCATATTCACATATTTTATATTGAATATTTTTTCATTTATAAAAAATGTCACATAATTTTTTTCAAATTTTTAATAAAATAATATAATATTTCCAAATTATATTTTAAAACACATAAATATTATATTGTTACCTATTCCAACAATATTTCATAAACTTTTAAGCAGAAATTTACCATAGATAAGTTATTTATATTCATAATATTATTGAAAATATTTAAAACATTGAATTATTATTTCATTTTTGTGTATATAAGAAAACGAATAATGATAATATTTTATAGTTAAAAGTACTAAAAATTCAATTACATTAATAGTACATAAATATTTTGAATGAAAATATAATTAATAACTTAATTGGTACTGAATTATACATAACTTAATTGACACTGAATCAATACATAATTATAAGTATAGAATTTGGATGATCAGAAATTATAATAAAATATAAATATAAGAATTTCGTTAAAGTATGATTAGTTTCCGAACAAAGGAGTGGCCGCCGATTTTTTTTATATACATTTGAATATCTGCTAAAAATGATATAAATATATCAAACAATTTAAATGTAAAATGCAGGGAATTATATCTTGAATGTTTTTTTCTCATTTTTCTTCATTTTTATAAATAAAATATGAATGTTCTTTATAGTATTAACTCTTGAATATACAATACATTTTTAAATAAGATATTCAAGTATTTTAAATAGGACATGTAAAGCTTCTATGCTAATGTTGCTCAAGAAAAATAGTTTTGAACAAAAGAAACGTTTCATCATATACTTAGTAGAAGACATATTAATTCAAAATTATGTAATCGTCATTATTCAAAATAAACGTCTTAAGGGTATACAATACTGCTATTAATTTTGTAGCTTTCTTACAAAAGAATGCACTTATATTTTTACATTGTTAAAAAGGACAGTTTGTCAGCTTTGCTGAAACCAATAATCATATTTATATAAATATCGCAAATAATCGAACATTCGAAATAGGATCGTTAAACCCTGGAAACAAAGAGAAACACATAATTCACAAGACCGCCAATACCTTCGACTCAGTTACATTGAGTTATGTACTACAATATAAAATAATAATAAAGAAGAGGAAAAATTATCTGAATACAATGTAAAATTGTTATCGAGAAGAAGGCGATAGCAACAAAGTAAGTAATTCGCAAGAATTTACTTACTTGTTAATTATCAAAGGGAAGAAAAGAGAAAACCTATTATAAAGACGGTTAATATAATAAGATTGAGCGAACGTAGGCGCATACAGTAATACAAATAAAAAAGAAAAAAAATGGCGGTACATCGTTTCATCTACTATATGTCCAATTATTTTGCATCCAAACTCTAAATATCAGTTATTCAAAGATGCACAGAAAATCTTCAATGAAGTGTTAATGGTATTGTATAAATACATTGTCTAATATAACCTGCATTGGTATTTTTTCATCCTGTGATTTTTATGTGCGAGTTTCTAAGGTTGCGTGTCGCATAAAATGTATAGGCATTGAAGCAAAACACGAGCATTACTGAGAAACCACACATACAAAGAACTGTTATTGATCTCAGTCTCACGACGAAAGTTAGAATGGAAATTAATTATTCTGTAAGTTCGAGTGACGAACGAGGAGAGAAAAATAGAAATTCCTAGGAAGTTGTACGCACAAAAATTCCTTGTATAATAAAAAAAAAATAATTTATTATTAAAATAGAATAAAAATACGACCAAATGTAGTAATTTTATTGGATAATAAAATATACAAAACAGGGGAGGCTAGAACGTTTTCGTGAGATAGGGTAGCGTTATTCAAACACATGAAATTCCATTGATGCAACGATTACTTTTCAAAGGTTTACTTGGTTTCTTATTAAGTTATACAATCATTTGGACACAACTGGCGTTATTCAGAAATTCAGAAGCAACACGGCTATTTGTAAAAAATTTAACGAATATTTAAGGCTATACTAATAATAACAATATAAAAATATAAATGTTGTTATCACTATTATCCATTTAGAGTAAAAAAATCCGATATTATGAATAACATTATTTATATATTTCCAGAAGAAATAATGATACTGCGTTGATGCAATGAACAAAATATATCAACTACGCAAGTTCTTAAAATTAGAAGAAAATAGTCGGAATGAAAAAATAATTCACGCCAAGCAAATACATATATACAGTCGAGTAGCAATATAACAAAAATAAAAAATAAAAATAAATTAATGAAGTGTCCGATAATATTCGCAGTACTGGTGTTAGTCAATGTCTAGCTTATTTAAAATTATCAATAAGCTTAGCTAAATTGATATAAATATATCTTAATGTCAGTTATAGCAAAACGCAAGTAGAAAATAATTTATCAGTGGCACTCAAGATTCATTATAGATAGAAACAAGGCAGCGTTTTATCATTTTTCTTATTTAATGTAATTTTAATACGCATTATAAAATTCATAAAGTAACAAAAGAGATTTTTTATGCTCAGTACACTATATAAACGTGTTCTAATCGTAAGTAATAAAGAAATCTCGATTAAAAATATTTTTAGAGAAGGACAATAAACGAAGTTATAAATAAATATCCTAAATTTGTAATCAGTCAGATACTGCTATTAAGCCCGAAATTATACGTTGAAAAGTTACTAATAAATTAAATGATAATGAAAGTATACTTGATATATCATAAAATAAAGATGAAAATTATATATAATTACGTAAGTATGCATTCGTAATTGCCATATATTATAGTAAAGATATTTTCATTTGACTGATAAATATAACTGTAATCCAAATAGTTATCAATTTACTACATTATTTCGAAAATTTTTATTTATATAATTATAGTACTTTCGCATGAATTCAAAATCATTGTCTTTTAATAAAATGAAACCTAATTATATCATTTATATTTAAAATATAATTGAGTTACATAATGTAAATATTAAAAGAATTATTAATCAAATTATATAAAAATAATGAAACTAAATAATCAAATAGCTTACCCTATAAATCGTGATGATTAAATATTTAATGTTAAATATCCATATTATAAGAGAATATTGAATTATATAAATGAAATAAAAAACTGAAATAGTATACCAAATAAAGATACACAGATAATAACAAAATTAATTAAAATTAGGCATAATAAAATATTTTAAAAGTTTTAAAATTGAAAAAAATGTATTTCATAATACTTGATCAATATATTAAATGAGTGCTATGCAAATAAATATTTTTTAAGGTGTGAAAAATCTTTATCAAAATGATCTTTATCAAAAATCTATTGAAAGTAAATATTTTTGTAAAAAAAATTAATAAATATTTAAATCCACTCTTATGGTCCTATTTAAATACGTATGTATTTCAATATTTTATATTACTACAAGTTCTAAACATGATATAAAAAATATAAAATTTTAGTCAAGGTCTCAGTGAGTTTATACTTTAAAAAAGAAACAATATGATTGAAGTCAATTTAAAATTATTTTTAGTTGAAATACAATTTTTTCTTCAGTGCTGAAAATGACATTTTATTCTTTCTTCTAATATATCATTTTGTTTGATCAGAAGTTAAGTACACATAAATTACATATTTTGCTGCTTGCAGGCTTGCAGTTAATTTATTTTAAGGATTAGATGAATAACAATTAAAATAATATAGCATAATTTTCTATCATTGAACTCAATAATTTTTTTTATATTTGTAAAGCTTATTGATTAAAATAACATGGTAACATTTACAAGAAAAAAGAATTAACCGTAGTTGAAAACTATCTGTTTTCAGAAAATATTTGACTGTAACCAATACATATTTCAGCTGTACATACTGTATAAATTATAGAGAATTCACAAAACGCTTCTAATTATATTTAATTTAAGAACAAAATTACATAGAAATTAATTTATATAATTATTGTCTTTTACTGCATTATACATTGCTAAAATGATTCTTTATTATGTAGACGGTTTCATATTTAATTATCATTAGAAATAATATTAGTAAATAATGTAATATTGCAAAGCAGAAAAAATATTTTGGCTAATTTTATTAAAGAATTTAAGTTATCTAAATTACAATTTCTTTTATGAAAATAGATTCTTTTTATTACTTAAAATTAGTACAAAAAATACTTCAATTAATATTAAGAATTCTTATGTTCTTAGATATTAAATATATTGCCTTTGCTATGAAAATTTTAAGAATATATTAAAATTTTATTATTATTTTAATTATTATTTAGGATTGTCACTTATGATGTATATTTTATGGAACTAGGTAAACTAGTACTACATAAATACTCTGATAAATGTTTCTATAAATGAGTCTATATATATATATCTTATGAAAAATTCCTTCCTTTATTCCTTAAAAGGAATACCATTGTTAATCTCTATATTTAACAACATATTTTTCTTTGTTACTACAAAATATTAACAAATTTTTATTTAAATAACAAATTATTACATATCTAAGATTTACTTAATTAAATTGGAGGCAAAGCTGAAATGTTATATCCTTATTTTTATAGCAATACTTTCTAGTATAACAAGAAATTTTCAAACTGAAAGAATACAAAGAACAAATATATTATTTGTTCCTATATAAACGTTTTAACAAGAGCATAAATATCTCAAAATTAACAAAATTATTTTGATAAATATTTTTTTGTTCGTTGAACTGTTTTTATGTGAGTAAATAATAATTACACAGGATATATAAAAGTTTTCTAATATAGAAGTATTATTATCAATTTGATATAATACAAATTTTGTAATTTCATAGTAACATAAAAAGTAAATGAATGGTATATCGTTCAAATAAAGCAGACTTTCTATATTTAATATTTAATATTTTCATATTTAAAAATTTGTTAATGGATTAAAAGTAGGAACATATTAATGTTCACTTAATCGAATTTAAAGTAGTACAAAAATTAATTTACTAGTAACACTTGTAGACTAAAATTCCACTCTCTTTTTTCTCTATTTAATCTAATGCACTTGGTTCGTATTTAAAATGTAAGCTCGTTCATCCAATGTGACTTCATGGAATTATTAACGGACTGCTAATTTTTTTTAATCCAAATAGTCATTACCGAAGACATGGTCATGTTGAAATTTTTTTTTAATCTCATGAATCATTACCTTAAAATTTTAATTTAAACTTTTCACACTCCCTGCTCCTCCACTGATTTTTTCTGGTTTTGATTACCGAGTTAATCACTTTTGCAATGTATATACAAAGGGAAGGGATATTTTTTTAATATTTTAGTTTTTCTATATAACGACTCATCGAAATCTGAGAAAATTTAGTACACTAAGGATATCTTCTGTGACAATAATAATGAGAGCGTGCGAATATAGTTATTCCCAGGTGAAGCAACAACAATCCTTACCTCTCCGTAATACTTGCTGACATAGATGTAGAGCTCCTTGAGAGCGGCGATAACGTCAAACTCGTTGGCGTGTGAAACGCTAAGCTGCTGCATAGCGCTGGACATCTCCTGATCAGTTATTAGCGGCAATCGTTGCACCTCCATGTAAAACCTGCCAACCCGCTCCCGGTAATGCGGTATGTCCTTAGCGAAGAGAAGCTTGTTCGAGGGCGAGTCCTTGCCGAGTCGATGTTCGCATGTTGAGCACGCGTCCATGAATGTCTGAGCAATGACGGAGAGGCTCGAGTCAACCGTCGTCGACTTGTTTATGTCAAACATGAAGTCTGGATTTTTAATAAAGTTCACCCAAAAGCGCAGTGGTAGGCTATTAGACTTCCAGGCATGTGGCACTTCAGGGTCGAGGATTCCGTGTTTGTTTGCAGCTTCGTCGAGGAGATCAAATAGCCATTTAACAGCACTAGGCAGGACGTCATTTGCTGTTAATATTGTGTTGAAGAAGTCATCCACGAACTTTTGAACGGTCCCTTTGGTTGAGAGCAGCCTCGTAAGGAAGATCTCAGGAATGGCCTTGTGGGTGCGCTCTGGATGCAGGCCCGGAGGTAATTTTCCACCCGTGAAGCCTATTCCGGCTATATACTGGCTCTCTTCTACTGGCCTCACCTGAAACACACAGCAACATTTTTACGTTAATAAGCTTTAAGGGACAACGCCAGCTAATCAGTACAATAAAGATCGGGAAGGGTGAATCCACTCGATTATGAAAGAGCTATTAGTTCCTGAGTTACGTTTTTTATACTACTTTTGTTTAGGACTCCGACTACCAGCCCTATTTCTTATTTCCTATTTCATTTAATTCTACTCTATTGTTATCAGGATCTCATACCGGTGATAGAATAATTCATTTACATATGAAATATTTACTTGCATTTTACAGATAGTCGAATATGAGTGACGGAGTGTTTATTTTGGCAAAAGACGTGTATTTTGTAGGCTTATATATAATACACAGAGGTCAGAGAGTAAAGAACATTAGTTTTTTTACGATGAAAGCTACCGCTCTCTTAAGAAGATTTGTCGTGCTTTTATTGGATTAATAATTCAATTTTATATTAATTCAATTAATAGTTCAATTTCAAATCAGACTCTTTTAATTATTTATTATATGTACTCAAATACTTTTTTTTATTTATTTTTCTTCTATCGCGCGAGTTTATCCTAGTATATTCATGTATTTTGTTAATGCAAACTTTTAAAGATCAGATTTCATAGATTATCTGCTTATTATTATAATCATAAGAACTATTTTAATTTATGTGAAACTTTCATTTAGATGATATATCCTTTTATCAAATTTAAAAAACATCTGAATAAATAAGCTTTAAACTTTATAATGGTTGTTTAGTTTAATATCGAGAGCTGGTGCACGGTTGGCTTATGCACGCATTAAATATTTCTTTGAAGTACTAATACATATTCATTATTTAGACAGCTAAATAATGCGATGGCACATGTGTAATCTACAAAATATAAAAACTTACAAAGCTTCTTAAACTGAAACTTTCTAAACATGTAGTCAATAATAAGATTTTTTGCCAAATACACGAAAAATTAAAAACTTTTATCAAAACAATTAATTTTATTTATCAATAATTAGTTTATTATTTAGATAATAGATAAAATTTGCAAGTATTCGTGAAAATTAGAAATGGTTTGTATTATTATATAGTATATGAAAATTCATAAAAAAATTAACTTAATAAAGATTTGAAGTGTTTTCTTGAATTTACAAATAATAAATAATTCATAAAATCAGTACTTTTCTTTATACAATTGTTATGATTTTTTCTAAATTTAACCTATCAAATTTATAATATGGCTTTAATATCAGAGTACCAGCATATAAGTATAGTAATATATAGACATTATGAAAATCGATTATTCCATAATGGAAGTATTAAAGAAACAATGCCAATTCTCGATATTTTATTTATGTTTCTTACACATTTCAAGTATGTAAAAATCTTTCCTTATTTGCTATCTATTCTTAACAAGAGACACGCTTACATACACACAATTCATGATTTATCAATGGAAGGTTAGAAATTTTTAAAGAAATTAATATTCAAAAGACATAAATTTCATTATTGTTATTGATTTTATTAAAAAAATCGTTTAATATATCAACAATAGTATATTATTAAATAATGTAAATTATTATTTATTCAAGATTGATAAGTTATTCAATTATCCTAGTGATTTAAATACAGATAAAGTAATTATCAAGAGTTTGTAAGGCTGGGTTATTACGAATAATCTTTATTTACATAAAAACTATTCTATTTATAAATTCAGATTTAATTTTTAATTTATCTATCTCAACTGAAAGTTGAACATAAGAAAAAAGTTTGTTTTTACTTCATCAATTATTTAAAAATTTTTAATTGTAAATAATTAAAGAAATATTTGCAAAATTTAATTTTGTTAAAAATCTCATGAAGCACAATGTTCGTATTGATTTTTGGATAAAAAATGTATTTGTATTCTAATAACCTAAATAATTACTTTATATAATTATTAAGATAATTTAGCCTTACTTTAAATGAATCTAATTTATTTTTACTTTAATATATAAGGTACAGTTAACAATATGCATTGTTCTTGAATGTGCAAATACCTGTATCTGATCTTGAACATTTTAAATCAAAAGTTTATAAATAAATTTAAAATTATCTATTATATTATTTGTTATACTTTCAAAATTGTATAATAAATAAAACTTCATGATTACGTATTAACATAAATTTATAAAAATTAATCAATTGAACAAATCGATAAAAGATTCAATCAATGGATTTAATTTAGGAACTATGTGAAATGCTTACAAATATGCAATTAGAAGAGTATAAAATATTTCAATGCAAAAATATCTATCGAAATAGCAGTAAAATAATATTCAATGAGCCTATAGACGTATATACTTATATACAGTTACAGATTTATAATAAATAAGTGCACTTAAAAACAGACTATATTTATTATTCATCTGTAAAGAGGAACACTAGACGTAGATTTGGCAACTAAAGTCATTTCATCACAAATGAAATTGTGTAACATTTATACCGCAATAAAGCAATTTATATATTCGTGAATCTTAAAGATAAAATAGTTATTGCGAGGCAAAAGTATACGGCTCGTATATGAAATGAATTTATAATTGAGTAATGATGCACATGCTCGAGCCAGAATGGCAGCGCTCATTGTTTATCTACAGCATCAGTCATAGGGTATATTTAATATAATAATACCGAATGAAATAAAATAATACTCACGAGATGATAGAGACGGTGGCTACTAGTGTGGCTTGACTCGACATCCCCGTTGGCAATGATCATGGGCATCGAGTGTTGGTTGTCAAAGAAGATGCCCGTGCTAGCACCATACATCGTCGTTGAATTGGCAATGCCGTGACTGGGTATCTGGGGTAGATGTAGGCCTGTGCAGTGGTCGATGGCATGCCTCGAGTCGTAGAGGTGTCTTTGTTGGCCCGAATGCTGCTGCTGTATGTGCTGGTGAAGTTGCTGCTGGGAGACCTTGGTGCAGGTGTGACAGGATTGCTTGCATGCAAGGGAAAAACCATCGTTTTGTCGAGGTATAAGTGACATCACTGCCGACTCTTTCACCCCATAGTGGGCGAGGGTGTTAATCTTTTTCCAGTCACCGCAACACTTAGTAGTGAGATCTTCATCCTGAATAGTAAGGTGACCGCCCCTGCCGTGCCTCCATTCGAGATCTACTTCGTGAACGGATGGTCTTAAAGAGAAGGGAGTGTTCTTGTATAGGGCATCTAGTATCTTGAATTTCACCTGGCTTATCGTATCACAGTCAAGAACTTTACACTGGATCTTTTCATCAAGATCGTCCTGCATTACGTGCAGCGTCACGTGCGCGTGGTCGATCTGCTCGCGTAGTAACCGCTCCTCTGAGAGGGAGTAACGTGCATCATGGGTAACTACGTCCACGGGACCCTTCTCGATTTGGTGCTTGATAGCTTTAAAAAGGAGAAAGAGAGACGAGCCTGCGTAATCCTTCAGATAATTGTACATACAGAGAGCCATCCAGTTAGTCAGCATCTTTTCGACAACGGACTCGGTGCGCCGAAGCATCAGTTGCGGGTACTTCGTATTCACTGATTTATCGATAAGTCTAAGCAATAGGTTCATCAATATATCAGTTGCGTATTCCATTTTACCCATTAGGACAACCATTAACAACGAGGCCACATTCACTTTGTCGCGGATATTGAAGTCTTTCTGAGATTCAAGGGTTTCGATAAACGTTAAAACGAAACACTTATTGTTGATGAGCTGTTCAAACTGGAGCATAGCCGCGTCATAATTCGTACGCGTCACATTGTTTCGGGAGCGAGGATCGTTCAGAATCGGATGATCAATTACCCCCGGAAAGAAAACCTTTAATAATATTTCGAGAATTAATATTGACTGTCTTTCAAGTTATAATATGATACTGATTTAGTTGTATTAAAGATTTTGATATTGAGAGTTGATTATTAAGAATAGCCATAACAGACAGATACTATGTAAACATCAGCACTCCTAAATAAAATTTGTTTTCTAAAGCATAGTTCTTTTGTCATATTTCTCATTTAAAAAATGTAATTGATTTATATTAGCGGAAATGAAGAGCGTTATTAAGATCTTTTAATGATAATTCAAAATTAGACAATAAAAATGCTTAATCAGATTTATGTATTAAAATTATTGAAATAATCTAATCGCTGGTGGGCTAACTATATTCAAATATAATATAATAAGATAAATACAGAAAAATATCGGTTTATTGCAAAACGATTTTGTTAAATGCTTTAAAATATAAAATGCTAAAATGAATCATATTTTCTTTTAAGAAATTGCTTTGATAACACAAATTATATTATTGAATATTAATATCTTTAAATAATTGTATGATATGCTTTCAATAAATACATATATATATATATACATTATTTTACGAAATAATAAAAAAATAAAGCGTACATGGAATTAATAAGTTAAAAATATTTCACTTTCTATTCATGTAAAAGCTTTTTGATCTTGTGAAGTACACAGCCTAGTCATCATAAGTTGAATACTTGAATTTAATTTGGAATTGAAACAGTAAGTAAAAAAAGTGTGTCCATATAGGTTTGCAACTTACGTGACTCAAATGGTCATTCATAATGTTTGCGATCCCAATTTATCAAGTAAAATACAAAAGAGTTTCTATAATAATTTTACATAATTTGATTTAATATGATTAACATTATTATTCATTCTCAGATTAAAATATAATACTATATATTTCACAAATTAAATATTAACTTACTAAGGAAGTATTAAATTCTTACATATCATTTAACTAAAGTTCCGTGTAGTTTAATAAAATAAATTATAAAACATGTATCAAAGAAAATTTCTGACCTTCGATTGAAATTTTAAAATTATATTAAAAAATAAAATTGTTTATATAATTGCCCTAACAGAAAAAAAAGATTTTCTGAAAAAGTACAACAATAACAATGTAAAAATAGGAAAGCATATTATTTCGTTATTATACAACACTGAATAATTTTGTTAACAATCCATGATAGATGCTATGAATAGTTTTACGCATGAGCACATGATATGTATTCAAGAAAAATAGAATATAAAAATTGTTTTGCACCCTCGTACACGGTGCAGTACTAACATAGGACAAGAATATACTAGTTGTTTCCGAAATCAACTCTTGCTTACTGAAAGCCGTGTCAATCACAATGAGAATTGACTTACTAACTTTCCAAAGCAAAGTTTTCGTACTCGTTCTTTTTTATGTGAAAACAAGTTTTATCTCAAATTAAAATATTAATTATCCTTATATGATACATCACATTTTAGAAATCGAGTGAGAATTGACAAGTCAAATAATGGCAAGTATATCACCTTTGTACAGAAAATTCTATACCTCAAAAAGCATGCATGCGATAGAAAATTTTTTGTACGATAAAATTTAATATTTGTATTACAGATTGCAATTTAATACTTTATCCTTGATATTCAATCTAAAATTTATAACATTTCGAAAATACAACGTATAAACTATAACTGAAAGTCTAATTTTTAATCTCGATAAGAAAATTATACTGCCATTGGAACTATCTGCAGAGTAGAAAGTTTTGCTTCATCCTATGTATTATTTATGCGCGATGTGGTGCAGAGCTTATAGTAAAGAAGTTGTCATAAACAGATTGTCATAAACTCATAATCTATGTCATTATAAAATACAACTACATCTCGAAGACATGATAAAAATAAATGTAACTTTATTCGATTTGTAATAATTACATACATTTTACAATATTATAATTTTATATTGCTCGCGTATAATACCTATACATACCCCCCATAAAAAACATCAGTTTTCTTATCTTTTACTTTGAGGCGTAAGAAGTTTTAAAGCCTTTCCCTAAATAATATTATATATTATATACTAATCATGCTGCATATCGATCAAATTTTAAGTAAAACTGAAAGCCACAAGAGGAATCAGTAAAATGTAGGTAAACTATATGTCGTATAATTGATTGGCTAATAATATTAATGGATACGAATTAACACCAGAATACATAATTATACAAAAATTAATCATTTTTATAAAAAAAGTGTTACAATTTTACAGATTAACCTTTAATTTCATTATGAATATTTAATGGAATATCATTTTTATGTCGGAAATTACTAATTAGATTAAATTTTGACAAGTGATTATAATTAGAAAATGGTGAACGATTACAAATTTTATTAAATATGTATGTTAAATAAGAGCCTGAAATTATGTATCTTACATAGAATTTATCTCATATTCATATAAAGTGCAAGTCTTAGCAAGTGAAACGTCAACAAAATTTTATATCTATAAATTATCAACAATCAATATCGGGTTCGTTACTTTTAGCTAAATATTATATGTTAAATAATTAAAAATTAAATAATTAAAAATATATTTCTAATTTTTAATATAAACACCTTAATATTCTCACACATCCAAAATAATTTAAATATACCCACCAGTATAATGATAGTCTATATATATCAAAGTAAATTCAATGAGGCTTGAATAAATCAGTTAAGTTACATTTATTATTAACAGAAATTTATATGAATAAAAAAATAATTATTTTTATTTATCAGAATATTTTGATCACAGTTATATACGAAAATATTACCTATTTTTAATATTCACATTATTTATATGAGAAAAAAATTTATTTTAGTGTTCATTTTAAATAGATTATATAATAAAGTATAACAATAAAATGTAATGAAAAAATTATAGAAATGTATAAGTTATAAAATAATATTTATTTATGAAAACAAATAGTAAATACGGCTGTATTTAACTATAAAATATATTTTACAAAAATTATTGATTAACTCGTTTTTTTTTTTCATAATTGTTCAGTATTTTATGAAGAATAATATATATTAGAAGTTATGGTGATGATTGAACACTAATATTATTATATAATCCAGTATTTCTTAAAGGTATTATTATCTATAAAGTATTATATACTTTCTTCTAGGAAAAAACGAAGCAAACTATAAAAATGTTTGTATGAAGAGATTATTATCATTACAAAGTTTGTATAAATCTTTGAAATTTAAACTTTAATAACAAAAAAGTTACGTGCATCCGATTAATTATTAAAAAAACTTAATTGGAGTAGATACTATTTTTTAGAAGTACTTGACTACATAATATAATTAATCTTTTAATCTTTTGAATTATCCGAATTTTATATAATGAATAGATAATCAAACTTTTATGAAAGTTCGCTACTCGATTTCGAATCAAAATGCAAATTATGTGAATGAAATTACTCGACTACTGAATTTAGGATCGATCTTCTTTTCTTTTTTTAACTACTTTTATTGCTACTCAGAACTGACAGGGCTGAAAGTAATTCTGTCATTTTTTCTTATATGTTTATGTAACAAAATACTAATATCATGATTAATTGCCAATCTCGATATAAAAGGTATTTAGGTAGTTAGTTCTATCTATGAAGGATAGTTCCCTTTGTAACATTTCCGTAAGAATATTTGTCCTGATTGTAATATCATAAAAAAATTTATTGTATTATACGAAATTGCTTGAATAATATTTGCTGTTGTTTAATTGAAATTACAAAGTAAATTAGACATTAGATAATTGAAATTAAATATAATAATAAAATAATAAAATAATATTAAAATATACTTATATTTAGCAGTTATTTATAGTTAGCAGCATCTTATAATAACTTATGAAATAAGTTATACAATTTTACAAAAAATTAGTAATTCAAAATATCCATATAAGAAAATAAGAATTTATGAGTTTTAAAATTTAATTATCAGTTGCACATATTCTTTCGAAGATTTATCATTTACACATACTATTTTCTATATTAATTTAATATTTTTATATAATTTGTGTAAATACGTAAATATCAAATCTTATCATTAATAGAAAATATAGACTTAACCTTTAATTTTCATAAAATTTTATCGAAATAACAATATGAAATGAAACATGTAAAAATTCTCATAATTTGTAACATACTTTTTGTAACATGTAAAATGCTAACATTATATTCTCACTTACATTTATGACAATTACATTATATGTATTAATCATAATTATATAGAAATAATAATAAAAAACATTTTATTTTGTAGGATATGAAAGAAATATTAACTTCATATTTATATTTTAAATAATATTCGACTATAAGATCACACAATTTTAAAGAAGTGCATCTATTAAAGTGCTTTCTTATCAGGGATTTTTTTTTTAATCGTCTTAATTAAATAAGTACAAATTACTATATTCTTTAGTTAAATTAAATAAATGCAAAGCGTATAAATGTTTTAATATTTCTTATTCAAATAAATTTTGATTTTTTATCTCTAGCAACTCTCGTAACAATTACAAATATACAATAAAAGTATTAATATAAATTTTAATAAAAATAAAATTATTTCAATATTAATTTCACTACTTTTTATAAGTTTTTTCTTAATCACCACTATTATTATAAATATAAAATCAAATTAGACTATCATAAAAAATATCATATTAACTAATGATTTTAGATTTTACAAAGATAATATCAATTTAACAATGAAAAAAATTAAATGAAAAAATAATCATACTAAATTCTAATTCTACATGTAAAATAATAATAATAATTCTACATGTAAAATAATACTAGTATAATAAAATAATAAAATAATATTAGTATAATAAAATAATAAAATAATACTAGTAATATTGAATAAATTGTTTTTATTCAACTTATGATTATGATAAAAATATAATAAATAAAAGATTGATGCATAAGCTTGCTATGAATACAGAGATAGAGATTACATTTTCAGGTTAAATTGTCAGAATAGAAATGAGAGATCCGAATTAATTCTGAATTTTGAAAGACAATAATAAGACAGTCATTGGTATTTTCTTAAAATACTTTTAGTGCAAAATTACTTTTTTATTTTGTTTTGAGAAAAAAGTTTAAATATAAAATCACTTGTAAATTTTTTAAATAATATATAATAATAAACAATAGTAAAACATATTATATTAACGTACCCATTATCTTCCTTAAATAGTGGAAATATTTCAAAATAAACAATCTTTTGTAAAGGCTTAAAATAAATTTTATTATATGTATCATTAACTGGATCATCATTAATGTATCATCAAATACATTAACTGGATATTGTAAGAATGACATATTGTATAGTTAAGGCAGTTAAGACGGTATGAAGAAATAATATAGATAAGGTGATTTTATTATTGTATTAAATATAATTGTATTAAATGCAACTACTTTGTTTGTGTATGATTATTTACTTCTAATCTTATTTTAATATTTAGTTAAGTTCATCATTTTATAGTAATTATTTGGTAAAAACTTATTATTAAATTATAATTATCTGCACTTGTAATATTAAAATCAATATTTAATTTATTAATATAACAGTCTTGAATATATGATAGATTATCTTTTACTGTGTATTATTATTATATTAATCACAATTATATAAAAAAAACTTAAAATATTATATTTTATAACTAAATGTTATAAATGTAATTTAGTGTAAAACAGGTATTAAAAAAATCTATTTTTTATTTAAAAATACTTTCATCTATTAAGAAATTCCTCCAACGATATATACTTGGCTAATAAAATATGCTTTTATTTAGTTATTCTGACTTTTGTTAGAATATTCTAATAAAGAATATTCTAGAATCTATATTATTGAGTAGTATTGAGTTATTATTAGTAGTAATAATCATTTTATATTAAAAAAAATTTTATACACTAATTTTGTTATATTTACGATAAAATTCTGACCGTTAATTAACATTCATCATTTTAAACGAAAATACCGTAATAAGCGCAAAGTAAAATTTTATTTTGTAATTTTGAAAATGATTAAAATAATTCTACGCGCCATATCGAACAGAGAAGTAATTAATTATATCTTGGCAGCTGACGAATAATATTAAAAATAAAATTCTACTCCTTTTTTAAAAAATGGACTTCAATAAATAGTGAGTCGAATATTACTTTTGTACGTCACTTTTTGGCTCGATTCAAAATCTCGAAAAACATTTTTTCTTAATCGATAAAGTATATCGAATCACTGTATTGTGCTTACGGCCATTCTATTTTCAACTTAAGATTTTTTGATAACATAAAGCAATTAAATTGGTAAATCGAGAGGTGCATTTTTTAGGATGTACAGGTTGATTGGAGTCGAAAGCAAGAGAATATCAAATTGAGCTCGATTACCTTCATGATGTAGTTCTTGTGGTCAAGAGTGGGAATGCCGGACGACTCGAGATCAGCAGTAAGATCCGTCATGTCGGTCTGTAGTTCTGCGAAAGCCTGCTTGCATTCCATCCGCACGTTGCTCTCGAGCGTATCCATCTGTATTTGTATTCTCTTGTATTCGCGCTCAGCCTGTGTACTTTTGCGCCGGTAAACGATGAGCACGAGAATAAATACAAAGATGAGGCCAAAAGTACCAGCTGCAATGCCTGCAATTGCTTCCGGCGGTATCGGATAGGACTTCAGCACGTCGTAGTGTAGGTAGCCGATGGGGAACCTAAGACTTCTACCAACTCTTACGACTACAAGGGGTAGCCCAGCTTCCGTCTTTGTGCCGTGTTCATCAGTGCCCGAAGGTTGTTGCTCGGGGGGTGTACATACAAGTTGGGTAAGGGCAAGTGACGTCACGTTGCACGGTCGCGTGCCTACTGTAACATTCACATCCGATTCGTCGCTAGCATGATTCAAACTCTCGCCTTCGATTACCAGAGTGTCGCCTTTGTAAAGTTTGATATTACGCGGGAAAGGAAAAAACTTAGGGTCCTCAACATAAATGAGTCTGTTGCGCAGATTTTGGCCGTGCTTATCAAGGTCGCGTACACTCTCGACATTGTCCATGAGGAAGCCAACCTTGAGTATAAGGCTCACATCCTTCCGTCTAATCAATAGCCTATCCCGATGATTAGATGTAGTCTCACCTCGGAAACGACCAACAACACTTGGACTTGGGCATTCCATTTGCGTGGGATTAAGGACTGTACAAACTGTGCGGTTAACAGGAGCGCCTTCCTTTTCCAGGTACACAATCATTTGGGGCTTCTGTATAGTATCAAGATTTGTACCGTGCACCGTGATCATACGGCCACCCCAAGCAAAGCTGCTAAGTGGTTTGATTTCCATGATGGTCGGATCGTGAGTGTAGTTATATGGGTTACCTTCGAGAGTGCGGTTCGCTCCGTCAATACTGAGTGTCAACCTGGATATTTTTCTAACGCGATCGGATCTACTGGTCACGCAGGTGAGTCTCGTACTGCTTGCCTGGGTAGCATTTACCAGGCAAGGCAACTCGTTCAGGTAAGCGGATATCGTACTGCCTATATTCAGGTACTGGCCAGTGATAGCCAGCCGCGTGCCACCGCTCTGAGGCCCCATCGACGGCTGCAGACCCATCAATCTGATATCCTTGTAGCTGAAGTAGACGGCGCTTTTAGTATAGCCGGCGTCGTTGCCCACTATCACCGGCGCCTCATCCGTTGCTTCGTGCCGGCCAGTTCTGCACACGATGCGCACCGAGACCTCATAATCGATAAGGATACACGAGGTATTACCAATTAATATTTTGCCTTCGACGTCGCTCTCACGTAGACCCAGATTGCTGCCCTCAATGGTGACAAGTGTACCGCCCTCGATGGGCCCACTCAGTGGTTTTATCATGTCAATTCGGGGCTTGGGACATTCGGTGAATGCCGAATTTAGACAAGAGTGGCGGTATACGCAACTGTTGGTGCACCACGTACACTCGAAGTGGCGTTCGCGAGTTACACAGAGCGAACAGTCGGCGTGTTCACGATGAGAGCCAAGAACCTCGCACTTGTACAGGATGATGTTCGTGCTATCGACGTAGTGATTACTATTCCACATCACCATCACTTGAGCCTCATATTCACCCAATTGCGCCTCGTATGAGTATACAGTCTTGTCGCACACGATATAACGGCTGCTGTCGACGCGCGCCTGTACACGCAGATGCGCCCCCTCGATTTTCACAAAGCATTGAAAGCCGGTGTGACCGACTTGTGGATGCGGTAAGTTCTCGACTTCAAGGCTAATTTCCTTGGGAACATTATTAGGTAACATAAGGGGCTTCTCTCTATGAACGAAGCGAGGGCAGTATTGCGCTCCATGGGCAGCGAGATTCGCTTGCATATTCTAAAAAATACAGACGATGAGCTTTTATTAACTTCACAAATATGTATATTACTTTTTTGAACGTTAGAATTCTTAATTTTACCATTATTCATTTTATGATGACTAATATAAAATCTTTAAAATTTAATTATAGTGATTAAATTAAATTAAATTTTATTTTAATAAACGAATTCCTTTAGATTAATGTTAAAAATAGTTATGAACATTTTTTAACAAATCATTTATTAAATAAAATCAGAAATGAATATTGTTAAACAATTAGCGCTGTTAATTTTATAATAAAACACGAAATAAGGTAAAATAAGTATTTCGTGTAACAATACTACAGATTTCATATGTTTTAATTATTCATTTGCTTATTAATTTGTTGTGCAAGAAAAAGTTTATTCAATGGTCGATCTTCTATTTAAAAGGCATAAGTTAAAATTTAATGCAATTTTCGTTAGGAAAAACGTAAAAATTAAACAGCTATATTAATTTGTTGTTTGATGCTTGGTATTGCCAATTAATTATTGTCTTAAAATACATACAAATACAAAAGCAGAGTACATATGTGATGCATGGTTATAATTATAGCATCGTTTTATTTACTTTGTCTTTGAAATTTGTAATAGATACGATCATGCTACGATTAATCTGTTGAATACGAAATAATAGGATCTCTTACTATTAGCATTAAATATTACGCTTACATTTTTTCCAGATATTATGTTCCCCTGGCATTCGGTTGTATTGTGAGTACACTTGTTATCGTAAACACACCAGCTGCAGGTCCACTGCGCTTTAACGCACTCGGAACAAATAGTGTGTCGAGAGCAGTCGAAATAGGCGAAATTTCGCGACACGAAGTCCTTGTTCGTCTCGCTTGAACGCACGGCCAACGGCACGAGAACGTGATCGGCATTTTTGGGAATACTCGGTCTTAAATTGATTGGTGGGGTCGGGCAGGACAATCCATATACAGTCATAATTGCATCAATGGGCTCAGCCTCGCCGAAGACGCATTTATACTTGGCGCCAACCGGCAATTCTGGGAGTGTTCGAATGCTCAATTGTACAGTTGTCATTTGTTTAATCGGAATGCGGTCTGGGAGGACTTGTTCGAAATCAATACATTGTTGTCCAGTGCCCAATGACAACCAACGCGGACTACTCCGATTTGCTTTTTGACAATCATTACGTATGGTACACCTAAAAAAAGAAGCATTTTAAATTCATTACAATTTAATAATTATTAGTTATTAATTTTTTTACAATATCATTATTTACTTTTTATCGGATTGATTTATTGGATCTTATAAATTTTATATTTATTAAGTGAAAATAATTATGTAAGAATTTCACGTTCCGTATTTCTCCTGTCCTACCTCTATGAATTATTCCCTTATTCTTAATTTAAATATTCTTTACCTTTTTTCTAGAGAACACCAGCCACAATAAGGATCCCCTGCGACCAAACAACTGTTGCAATTCATATAACTACTACAGTGTTCTACTTTCACTTTTGAAATCCGAGAGTTTGACAAAACGTAAAGATAATTGCCGTCTGGCGCAACGATAGTATCTGGAAGGATTTTTTGGCCATTGTCAACAACGATGCTTTCATAGACCTTAGCCTCCGTAGCAGAGAGCAAAGCTTTTTTAACAACCCCATCTTCTGTACCAAGAAAAGCAACAGTGTGACTCTCCGTATTTGCCAAAGTAATAGAAGTAATGAAGGTATCAGGGAAATGTAACACCGCTTGTCCAACAATTGGCGATACACCCGATATCTTCAGGCCAACTTCACAGAAGTTCACAATGTTTCCAGTAGTCTGAAAATTTTGAAATTTAAAAATATTCTACTTTCAAAAATAATTAATCTCGTGTTGTATTATAATGTATTTCTTAATCATACTACAATGACGAATCCGTAAATAGTTTCATTTTTCTATTCGTATCATAAAGTTACAGTTACGAATTTTTGACTATTAAAAAAATTAATTTTTGCATATATTACATTATGCATAATTATACAATATTAATTATATATATATATATATATATAATAAAGCAGAAACAATATATTATTGTAATTTACTATATGAAATACACACATCAAATAAGTACTTATAATTGTTACATTGTAATACATATTAAACAAAAATTTATAATATTATTAAAACAGAGATCAAACGTTGTATATTAAATGTGATAAATATAATAAATTTTGATAATAAAAAAAATACCATTCATAATAAACTTTGCAATACTACTTTATGCTGCATTAATTTGCTTGAAATTATACATATGCTTATTTTAATAATTAATGCGTATAATATTTAATATTTTTTAAAAACCTGATAAAAGCAAGTTAGAATAATTAGTGGAAAGAGGGATGAGCTCTTATTAATAATGCTTACACCCGCTTGTGGACAGACTCCGTCTTGAATGGGCCCGCTGATGTAACCCATATTCCTGTACTTGATACTGCTGTTAAAACACATATGGATATTTTCGTCGAACTTTGTTTCGATGTCTTGGAGGCTGTAAACACAGACAACAGACCTAGGGAGGGGCTCATTGGTAATACCCTTACTAGGCGAGAAAACGGCGACGAAAATAGGAGAACCAACGTTGATACCAAACTGAGCCGCAATGTCGCCACCTGCAGGCGCGATTTTGGCATCCTGTACCAACCTATAGGATTCGTTCCTGTCCTCGATGTTGCACTGAAGCGTTACTTCCGTGTAACTATCGTAGTTCGCGTCAGTGATGCAGCTCCGAGCCATCCTCGACACGTAACCTAATTCAAAGGATGTCGAGCTTAATATTATATGCTACCTTGCATTGTTGATTCAATAAATGTCTGTTGCTTTGCAGCGGTAGGTAATAATTCAAATTTGTGATTTTTTATTAACTTTTAGAATTACTTTTAGAATAATCCGTAAGGCGTATCAAATGATGTTGATACTGTGCTAGACTCTATTGATTTTATTCGAGCTACTCGAGTGCAAACACGACTTTAAAATGTGAAATTGGCAGTATTTCAGAATCTTCAATATCAGTACAAATTTATAAAATATACAAAATATTTAATGATAGTTACTTTGCAGAATCAAGGAAATAAGGCATGGTGAAATTTTAACTTAATAATCATTATATTGCTTCGTACATATCAAGAGGAAAATTTAAATATTCAATAGACATCGGAAATAGACAACCTAAATAAAACGAATTTATTTTGACGAAACCTTAAATAAGAAGTTTCAAATTTAGAAAAGGTTTTAATAAATAGCTTGAAAATTATATGACGTGGCGGCATTATAATTTAAAATATTCATGCATTACAGACATACGTGAACACTTCTTACCCAATTCTTCCTCTTCCGGCAGGTACGACTGCTTCTGTACGAGCACGAAGTAAGCGTAATCACTGGCGTTAAAGCCATACACGTATTTAACCAGGAAGTGGTCACGGTACTTAACGTCAATGTGTAGGATCGACTGCTTATTAAAGGTGTATTCAGCAAATTCAAGGGTGTCAAGCCTACGGCTTGAAATCGCGGGTACGTCATGTCTATATTCAGCATTGTTAGTAAAAGTAGTACCAACGTAGAGAATATTTGAGTCTTGCCAAGATTTATAGCGCTCGGGTCCGATGAATGCGTAAGTGGAAGAAGTCTCGTCGTTAGCTGCAACCCCGAATGTGAAGTTCTCGGGCTCAATGCTAATGTTGGACATTTTGTGCTTTTCGCAGGCACCCTGGAAAAGAGATCCGCATACGATGAGAGTACGTGAATCGAGGTCCACGACCAAAAGTTTGTTCACGTTGTTTGTAAGGCTCGTCTCGATTTCCAAGGAAGTAGGACACCCACTTGCATGACACTGGGGGTTATCATGCTGAGGACCTACAAATAACAACACACATAATTAATCTTTTCCTGTTACTGCGTTTCTTGTCATTTTTGCACACTGAACGTGATGCCGAAAGTAAGACAATATATGACTCGAGGATGCTATCATTGAACCTAGCTCGTTTGTTAATGACAGGGCCATTTCGTACTCGTAGTTATCGTCTCTATCGATGAGAATAAAATTTTAAATAATTTCTTTTTGCTATTTTATAGTAGAGAATCAATATTTCCCGTTATAAAATATAACAGTCGTTCTCTAACATTCATTACCATGCTCTCGGTTTCCCTTTAAGCTTGTCTTTAATATGGGCTTATCGCGCAATCGATAACGTATTCGAGGTCACTTACGCCTGACATTAAATTCGCCCATTAAGACAGATCCATGAATGTGACCCCTTATCAGGGTCTCCCCCCTAAGGAGTAGTGCAATAAAAGCACGGTACTGAAATCGACCAACGATGATAACGCATAAAACGCATCCGGATGGAGGTAATTACCCGTGATAAGGAGCTCCTTCAGCTCAAGCTCCGAGTTGAGCTGCAGCAACCTATTGACGGCCCCAGCAAATAACTGCCCGGTTACAGGATCGAGCACAAGATGACTGAAATGAAGCTGGCTGACATTGCTTGGATACTGAGCGACGATTTGCAGGAGCTCGGGCGGGGATTTGACGGCCTCGTCGGCCTTGACAAGTGCAATCCAACCAAGAACAAAGCAGTAGCAAAAGACGAGGAGTCGTGGAAGCGGTGGCACCAACGGTTGACGATTAACTCCTGAAGGACTCATGTTAGCACGTATAGAACAGGATCGAGACAAAGATTCGAGTCCGGTGTGAGCAATTGAGGAGATCTGCAGCCTTGTTCAGCCAACCATTCAACTAGCCAAACACAAGGTCAACTTAGCCGCCTCATTCTAATCTCTTGTGCCTGCACGTCTGAAACCAGAATTTAAAATTAACCGCTTAAAAAATGAAATATGAAAGTATCAGTAATAATGATATAAGCGAGAAATGCGCACTCGCCCAGATCTCGTTAGAGATAAGCGACTTGGCATGTGCCCATCGACTTTCGATGTTACGCAAATTTAACTTAAAGTATAGTTCAAATTTAGTATTTAGCGAGCTCTAGTTTACTTATATATATAAATAATTATTACATATCTTCGCTCTTTTTTAATAAAAAATTGGAACGGACATTTTCTTGTGCGATCGAATTATCAGCTCATCAATGCCAAACACAACTTGATTGATATAACATAAATTATAATATTAATATTATAATAAATTATAATACATTAGAACCATATACTTAATATTTATAACATATAGTAGATCGTTACTATATTTATCAGTTAAGATATAATTCTTTAAAGATTCATTAAAAATGATTACATAATTATAAATGCAATTGAGTAAATCAATTATGTCTCCGTATTTGTGTATAAAAATAATAAAAATATAACAATCATTTTAGAGGCATAATAAAAATACATAAAATATAAAAAGCTTACCTATGAAATTGAAAAAGTTAGTTTTAATAAATGAACATTGTAACAATGATTAGTAATAACTTCAGGATAACCAACTCAATTGAATAGATAAACTATTACATTGCAATTAATATAATACTTTTTAACTAATAACATTCAACTATGGAAATTTATACACAAGTTTATTTGAGTAAATATTTCAATATAATCGTTATGAAATTTTTTAATAAAATCATTAATTTAATGATCAGATTTATATTAAATTAATAAATATAATTATTTCAAGTTGATTCTAAATATTCTTATAATATTTTTTGTCTTTTACACATATAAATGTATATTTAATAGAATTATTAAAATTAAAATTAATTTATTATCCGAAAGAAAAAATTCAAATTCTATATTTAATCCTTAATTTTAATAAACATGGACATTTGTTTACAATACATTATGTATATATATATATATATATATATAATACATACTAATTACTGTATTGAAACTGATGTTTTTAACAAGTATCAATAATTTCAATGTATTCCAATAAATATACTTATATTCTATATAGTTTTTTTTCTTAAAACGAAGTGTTTTGTATAAAACAAAAATGAATAATATCGCCTCAAGCTCAACAAAAAATGCTATTTTCTCACATCAGTTAAAATAAGTTCTTAAAATATACTTAATTGAAATAAATCGGACGTAATCGAGCACATAGGAAATAATTTATTGGAATCAATTTAAAAACCATTTCATGCAATCACTGATTATGAGTCGAATTATGTTATAAGCACACATTAGTAATGCACTTACATAAGATACACAAAGAACTTTATTTTTAAAATCTGTATTACACTATGAAAGTCTATGCATATACATAAATTATAAACAATTCACAAAACCATATAATTAATCAGTAAATATAAACAAAATAAAATACACTAAATATTTCATCGAAAACGAATAAATCTACAATTTTTAATTTTATTAGTAGTTAAAATAATTTTCTAACTAAATTATATTATTTAAAAATATTAGTAACTACAATACAATAACCCATAATACTTTGACATATATAATGTCACATCAAATATATTAAAAACATAAACTGAGTGTATGATTTAATAATAGATAATAGTTACAAATATTAAATATAAATTTATATTAAAGACAGTGCCCCAAAAATTATTGTTAAATTGTATAACATAGCCATTGATGAAACGAAGCAAATAAAAATATACGAATAGAAGTGTTACAAAGCATATTTTTCAGTAAGAATAAAATACGTTCAACGGTGTTTAAAAAAAAGCCACTCTCACTATACCCAGAAAAGGACAGATACGCAATGTAATCAAACCTTTTGTATAAATAAAAACTCATACTATAAATATTATGAAATTACTATAATGCTTGAAAAATATTTATAATAATTTTTAAAATATCAATATTAACAAAACATTAAATTATATAAAATAAAATCTGTGGATTGATAAAGTACTAATTATAATAGAAATTACTATATACAAAAATATTTATTTATATATACTTATGAGTATGCCAAGTAAATAAAATAACATTGCTCGATGCATAAACAAGTTCTTGTATTTCTTATTTGCAATAGGATACCAAATTTTAATTCACATGTATCACAAATATGAGTTTAAATTTGTTATGTAAATACTAAATAAAAATATATTATATTTATTTTTTATGTTAATTTTAGACGTGAATAAATTTTTCGCGTTACCCTACATATTAATATAAAAAAAATGTAATAAAATATAATAAAATGTAATCAAATATAATAAAATATAATCATTAAGTATTAATTAATTTAACATCGTGTTATTTTCAATAACTTCCTTATAATCAATCTATTTAAGTAAATTAACTATAGATGTGTTAATAAAAAATAATAAAGAAATTATAAATAAAACTAAGTCTTATTACAATCAAAAAAAAATGTTTTTTGAGGTTATAAGATTGCATATTAAAATGAATTAAATGTTCAATTTATCAATCAAATATCTTAATATGATCAATAAATATGCTTTATTCAAAATTTTAAAGCCAATATAAAAAAAATACAAAGTATCTTATATTGAATTGCTAAGTCAATCGCAGAGCTAATGGTTGAAAAATTGTAATAAATATAAATTCACTATGGTCCTTTTATCTCTGAAATTTAAAAAATGTATATAATTTTAAACGCGTAATCACGATGATAAAATATAGCTTATAAAATTAATGCATATAAGTGTCAGCTTTCGAAGTCGTGATAAAATTTTCATTTTCAATCAATCATAATAAACTCAAAGCACATTATATAAAAAATATAGCCAGTATTTCAATTTATTAAAAGAAATACGGATGAACAGTAGAAAAACGTGGAATACAGAAATAAAAGTAAAAAGAAAGTAATATAAGCAGAAATAGGCACAGTCCAATGTAAAAAAATTCGAAGGCTTCCAAATGAAAAGAATGTACATATATACACACACACATATTTATGTATTTATTTATTTTTTAATTAATACAATCATTAACAATTACATATATACCAATAAATATATTAGAGTTCAGTTTATATTTGTCGTTGTTATACAAGTAAGAAATTAAATAAACAATCATAAAAACTACTGTTACAAAAATATAAGGCTCATTAATATGCAAACTGTGAATATTATATTTATTAATAACAACTCAACGTATTATATAAAAAAAAGAAGAAAGAATGATGGCAAATAATAGGTTAGTGGATTGTGTATGAATTATCGTCAGTGGCGCATTTTGACCAAAAATTTCTGAGGATAATATTTGATATGTAAATTTATTGCATAAACTATTTAACATGTCGAATTATGAGGTCTTAACGAATATTAAACAAAGAAACATTGCTTAAACCCCATAGAACATTAAGATACAAAATATAAATCTTTTCTGAGAAAAGTCGTTTGAGTGCGAGAAGTAGAAATTGGGGACAAGCGAGTAAGCAAGTCTGAGGAAAAAAGCGAAAAAAAAGGGGATGGAAAGTACGACCGAGTGCCAAAATGAATTTCCGGACGGCGGGAGCGAAAGAAATATGCACACGCATAATCATGAATCACGTTATTAAAAATTCAAAATAACTACCCACTTAAGGCTTGGAAAAATGCAAAGAAGAAAAAGAAGTAACGTAGGGCACCACTCTACCAGTGAGCGCGCGATGTTTACCTGAAACGCACAGACGAAAATAAGAAAGCGCTGGGAGTAAAAGAGCGGAGGCCGGCTCATAAGGAACGATGCATTCAAATAATGACAATAAATGGACAACAGCATGGTCGAAAAAGCGTATTTATTATATAGCGGATACTCGCACATTATGTTTCTTCCTCTCTCTTGCTCATCTGCACACTCTCAATGCCAATCCCTCCCGATCATAAGGGAAAAAAACCAAAAAGAAACAGCGGGAGTAAGAGGAGTGTATAAAAGAAACAAGAAGCGACCAAAAGCACAGCAAAATACAACGCGCGGAAGAAAGTCCTATCTCTCTGTCTCTCTCTCTCTCTCTTTCTCTCTCATTCTTGTTGTTCGTACTTGCGCGTGTATCGTGTGGGCGGGCCCCGATACCTACAGGGTCCATCGCACCTAATTGACAGGTGCCTGGGGGTCTGAACGTTTTCGCACAGAACCGCCTCGAAGTCAAGTTGCATCCTCTCTGTCGACACACCGGTGTCCGCGACGAGTACCGGTTATGGTCCTTGCGAGATATGCGACCTCCAAACAAAGGATGTCGAGGAGCGCGCATGCGAGTAAGTAAAGTGTGTGTGATGAGAGCAAGAGAGAAGAGACAGCGAAACAGCCAGAGTACGAAAGTGAGAGAAAGAAAGAGAGAGAGAGAGAGAGAGAGAGAGAGAGAAAGAGAGTGAGAGAGCAAGAGAGAGAGAGAGAGAGAATCCGAGGATGGTAGAGTGGGAGGAAGGGGGAACGCGTCTCGCAGGATACATTGTATCGCATAGCGGTGTACGGCAGGAGGGAACATCACGTACCTCGTACAGCGGGGTCCCGTAGGGAAGGGCAGACGGGCCAGTAGTACAATGCAATCCAAGCACTGATCGTTGTCGTGGTCGTCGTCGTCACCGTCGTCGCCGTCGTCACCGTCACCGTCGTCGTCGTCGTCAGCGGCGGCGGCGGCGGCGGTGGCGGCGGTGGCGGCGACGGCGGCGGCGGTGGCGGCAGTGGCGGCGACGGCGTCGTCGTCGTCGTCCTTACGGGGCATGACGACGCCGCAGGTGCAGCATATCCTTCTCGGGCAAGTTTGCAATCCTTATGTGTCACTACTCCCTTAGTCGTGGACTGCACAAGCGAGACGAAGGAAGCAAGTGGGACAGCACTATATGTGCCTTACTCGCCCTTCGCTCACCGTCTGATGTTCTCTCCCCTTTTTTCTTCTCGATATCTGCCTTAGCCGTTGACGATCAATTTTGGAAGAGCTATGTAGTTTCGAAATAACCGCGAGCCTTGAGATGCTTTCACCATAAAATATAGCGACTAGAAATACGTCGACAGCACGTCCTCACCGCCATTTAATTGTATACTCTAACGTACTCTTACCCGGCAGTCCGTCAACTAGTTTCTCCAGTTCCTTTGAAGCCGAAACACCGAAACGCGGCGCTGGAAAA